GGGGGTGTGGAATAAATGGAGGTTATGTAGAGAATTACTTGGAAATTCTATAGGAGAGACTAGCCTCTCTAATAGCAGCTAGCCACTCTTGGTTTTTCTTTCGAGTTTATCAATCATTTAGCACTCATTATCCTTCATCTCCATTCCTTTGTTGTTTTCTGAAATCTGGTCCATAACAATTTGAGTTCAGAGATCTTAGATCTTTAAAAGTACTCTTCAGGATGGAGTTTCTAGGCCGAGGGAGGGCATTTCCGTAAATCCGAGGAAATATGCCCTTGACTTACTGAATGAGACATGTATGCTTGGGTGCAAAGTTGCTAAAACTCCAATAGAATCTAAAGTAAAATTGCAACATGCGCAAGCTAGCGATATGAAGAATAGAGAGCACATCAAACGTTTCATCGGGAAATTGAAATATTTATCCCATACACACACATATATATCCTTCTCCGTTATTGTGGTTAGTCGATTTATGCACGCCCCAAGACAAGAAAAATGTTGTGAAATTACCAAGACCTAAATAGCATAAGCTCAATAGTTGGTTCAAGATAAAACACAAATTACCCAAGAATAATGAACTAAAGTTCTATATCGAGATTCTAAGCAAAAATACGATTCACAATGTAAGACAATTAACCACTCAGTAACGTAAACAATAATCAACTCAAATACAATGCAATATAAAGCGTAAGTAAGAGAGACATCAGATTTTTACGTGGAAATCCGGAAAGAGAAAAACCACGGGAGGACGCCGATCCACTATCACTTTGATGATGATGATGATGATGATACACTTGAGACACTACAGATGGAGAAATCAAAGGTGTTCTTGAAAAGCAAAAGCTTGGAGAGTAAGTTTTCGAGCGAGAGAGACGAGGGTTTCCAAAATTTGATTCAAATAAAAGAAAACATGAGCCAGAGACTAAAACCCCTTACACGCGCACAAGCCATGCGGGCGACTTTCTAAACAACTAAAGCCGCATGAAGGGGACACCCGTCCTACCAGAGACTTCACGCCAAGCCCGTGCTTGTGGTGCCGACAAAGTTGCATGAACTCCTACCCGAGCCATTGCCTTGTGGTTGTTCCATAGAGACTGGGGCAACAAATAAGGAGGCATATAACACAAGGAGGATGTCGCCCAGAACCTCAGCACTTGGCGACTCTGGTCGCATGGTAGGTGGCTCGGAGGCAACAATCTCACATAATTCTAAGATATACGGTGTCTACAAGGGACGCTAGGGAAAAAAGACGTTTAAAAACCAATGACATTTGCAAATTGAAGCCTACATATATGCAGATTAGGTTGGAAGCTCGGTAGATAGAAATTTCACTTATGGATATTGTTCATTCGTGGGCGGCAACTTGATTACACGGATAAGCAAAATAACAAAATGTGGTTGCTAGGAACAACGCAGAGGTAGAACTTAGATCTGTAGCTCATGGTATTCATCAAATCACGAGGATTAGGAGGTTGTTAGAGGAGTTAAAAGAAACTAGCTCATCTTCTATGAAGTTATATTGTGATATAATAAGGCAACAATCTCAATGGCACACAATACAATCTTTTATGACCGCACCAAAACATGTGGAGGTTGATAGACACTTTATCAAAGAGAAAAATAGACAATGCATTGGTTCATATGAAACATGTTCCTAGTAGAGAGGTGGTGGCTGACATTTTTACTACCGGACTACACACAAAACAATTTGGTTTTCTAGTTGGCAAGCTGGGTATGAAAGATTTTTTCAAGGCAGCTTGAGGGGGAGTGTTGGAAAATCAACAAAATAAATATGTGTTGTATATTAGTTGTAGACTTTGGTACAAATGTATGTATTTGAAGAATGTATAGCCTAGGAAATACCTCTCTTTAAAGTGGTGATTTAGGGGGTGTTTGTTTTCAACTTAATTATGGGTGGTTAGCTTAATTGGTTAAGTTATATTAAGGTGTTTGATTTTAACTTAATACTAAGAGATTGACTTAACATATTAAGTTAGCTCATCCTATCTTAATGCATTAAGTTAGAATCTTTTCCAAAATTACCCTTGTCCTATAATATTTAATCGACGTCTCAATAAATAAAATAGTTTACCAACATGCATAAATTGAAAATTGTACTCAAACAACAATACTTTATTGTTTTAAATATATTTAAAGTCGTTAAGTATTGTGTTATGAACTTGTTGAATTTATTTTGTGTTTGTTATTTTAAATAATTCATATGATTTTAATTTGTCATTTAAATATTTATCACACATTTTATTTTCATTCAACACTTATGTAGACATAAGGTTAAAATGGCAATTTTTGTTATTCAGACTATTTATTCAGGACATCGAACAAACTTAATAGATTAATGCTTAGAGACAACTTAATAGATTCAAAACTTAATGGATAAAAAATCAAACAACCCCTTAGTGTCCTAATCTAGTGGATATGTTTGTGCTATAAAATCACAATATCAATAATAGAAAATTTATTCCAACCTACTTTTCAAATTGTATATATAATTTACAATAATCACAGTTTATATATTTCAATCGATTCCTATGCTTTTGCTCAAGTGTCCTCTTATCTTGGTTTAGGAGCTTGAACGCTAGGTCACTCAACCAATAAGTTTTGCATTTAGAACACTAGTTTTCATCAACCCTACGGTTAAAAAGTACTCAATCTTCAAAATAAATGCAACTTTTGACTAGGTACATAGTGTAATGAAAGAGTTCAAGCAGTTGTCAAATATCTAAATGCCCTTCAAGAAAGAGAAACTAGAAGAATCTTGTGAACTAAAATCAATGTCAATATTCGATTAATATCTTGTTTATGATCACTAAAGAGCAAACCTGTCATATTTGAATGGAATTATGACAAAAAAATCATTGCATTTATTTTGGGATAGAGAGCATAACACATTTGACCCCTGAAAAAGTGAAATATCGACTCTTTGTAGATGAAGAAAGTAAAAGTGCATACCTCTAAAAAATTGTCTTGTCTTAGGTAGTGGCATGTTACGGCTTTCCCCAAGAGGCAAGCTTTTGTCCCGACTGCACGCTTGACCATCCAATATCCCTGTCAAACGCTTTGTTAGCACAATATCGTAACATGAACCCCAAACAAATATGATGAAATAAAATACCTGTACAATGCTCGGGATCAGTTTGAATCTTGAATCACGAAATGCGTCGCTCCCATCAATAAATTTCCCCAGCAATGAGTTCTTATTTACAGGCCTGTCTGCGGCATAGTAAAGAACTAGGCTGTAGTTTGGTTTAGCGGGAACCTTGAACAAGGGTAACATGACACTATTATGCCCAAAGAAGCATCAAAAATCAAGATTCAAGCACTCAAAAAATAAGTAAACAAAAAAGCTGATCTTAAGATTCTTAACCAATCAAAATCATCAACTATAGATTTTAAACATAGAAAGTAGGTGTTTTTACGCTGTACTATGAAAAAAAATAATATTTGGCTACTATTGGCCACTCACTAGACACGCCTTTCCCCCACAGTTCTTACTTTCTGGCTAGAATTTGCCATTTTGCCCAAAATTGCCCTTTTCTGAGTCACATTTTCCCCCGAAAATAAAAACCAGTTGGAAAAAATGGTCGAGAACTGCTATAATATGATGGCTAAAACTTATTGTACTCAATATACACGTGGCCAAACAAACACTTTTTTCCATTTTATTACAAAAGCCAATACAGGTACAGGTTGGATGTCTACATCGCCTTAAAAGGATTGAAACATACATTAATACAAGCAACACTTTTGGGCATTAGGCGTCTCGGCTTAGGGCATTAATATTACACACAACTACAGCTAAATTATGAAGCATATTATTGTTATTCAACTGTATGCAAACTATTTAGGCTGACACATTTCATGTAGAAATAACTTAAATCACACAAGAAATAACATCTATTCTGAATATTCACATTATGCTAAATCAGATATGCATCACTAGAGTATACATCCATTAAAGTCAAAGCATACCTGCAGGTTCACGACAAGGATGAATGGAAGTTTCTTCCCAGCTTCCGACTGTAACAAGAAAATGAATTTAGAGTGATCACCAGAATGATAGAAATTAAAATAATAGTAGGCAAAAGAAGCTAACAGACATGGTTTTCGAGCATTGCAATATACTTTTCATGTTGATATATTGGGTATAAAACTTGATATCAATTGTATTGATTGGAAAATAATAATTATCAGATACACTTTAGAGATGTAGATATATAGGTAAAACTAACTACACTTTGGACCCTAGACAATATTAATAATATAAACTAGACTAGTTGACTTAGTCTAACATTCCCCCGCAAGTTCAGCGCGGTTAGCAATCTGCAACTTGGACCGTAGAAACTCAAACTTCTGAGAAGACAAGGGCTTTGTAAAAATATCAGCAATTTGGTCGTCTGTAGAGATGAATTTGACAATTAGTTTCCCTTGAGTAACTTGTTCACGAACAAAGTTATAGTCTACTTCAACATGCTTGGTACGGGCATGAAAGACAGGATTAGTTGTGAGATATGTCGCGCCAAGATTATCACACCAAAGTGTAGGGGCCTTGCTATTYAATCCAAGTTCCTGAAGAAGAGACTTCAGCCAAATCAACTCAGCAACAGTATCTGCAATGGCCTTATACTCGGACTCTGTTGAAGATCGAGAGACAGTTTTCTGCTTGCGAGCAGACCAAAAAATAAGATTCGAGCCTAAGTAGATAGCATATCCCCCCGTGGATCGACGATCGATTGGGCAACCAACCCAGTCAGAGTCTGAGTAAGCTTGAAGATTTTGGTTCCAATGAGAATCAGAAAACGCTTGAAGCTGATAGACCGTATTGTGACGAATCCACAAACCCAAATTGATGGTGCCCTTGAGGTAACGTAAGATCCGTTTTACTCCGGCCCAATGATTTTCAGTCGGAGCATGCATGAACTGGCAAACTTTATTGACTGCAAAGGCAATATCAGGACGAGAAAGGGTAGCATACTGAAGAGCCCCGACGGTCTGCCTATAGCGAGAGGGATCATCGAGTAATGGGCTATCATCCGGTAACAACACTTGAGAGGTGCTCATTGGAGTAGCAATCGGTTTGCAGTCTACAAGGCCAGCACGGTGTAAGATCTCACAAACATATTTCCGTTGTGAGAGAACTAAGTCTGCCCCCTTGTGAACAACTTCGACCCCCAAAAAATAATGTAGCTGCCCCATATCTTTAAGAGCAAAGAGAGTATGGAGCTGGTCAACGACGGTGGCGATAGCAGTGGAGTTGTTACCGGTGATGATGATGTCATCAACATATACCAGAAGGTAGATAAGAGAGCCCGGAGATTTGAGAATAAAAAGTGGGGTCGGCTTTGGACCCATAAAAACCCAACTGTTGAAGAGCAGTAGATAGTTTTATGAACCAGGCACGAGGAGCTTGTTTGAGCACATACAACGACTTGTGTAACAAGCAGATATGATCAGGTTTGGTTTGATCAATGAAGCCAGGAGGTTGACGCATGTAAACAGTTTCCTTGAGATCACCATGCAGAAATGCAGTCTGAATGTCCAACTGTCTGAGAGACCATTTGTTGGTGACAGCAAGAGACAGGACAGTGCGAATAGTGACAGGCTTGATAACGGGGCTGAAAGTCTCCTGATAATCCACGCCATGCTGTTGGTGAAAACCTTTGGCCACAAGGCGGGATTTGTACCTGGTAATCTTTCCATTTTCATCAGTTTTTAACCGGTAAACCCATTTACAATTAACAACATTAGCATTAGGAACAGGGGGCACAAGTGTCCACGTGCCATTCGTATGAAGCGCAACCAACTCATCAGCCATTGCTTGGCACCATTCTAAAAACTTGTTAGCAACGGTAAAACTGGTGGGTTCAAGAGGTAGAGGTGAGGGAGCGGTGGCAGAGTAAGCGGTTGGGTTATATCGGTCAGGTTGTTTGGGATTGGGGCGAAGGTTGGAAGGCCGAGGTCGAGAGACGGGTGGTGGAGTATGGGTAAGTTCGGGCGGGGAGGCATCAGAAGGAGGTGGAATAGGTGGTGATGGTGATGATTGTGGAGACGATTGGGGAGGTTCGTGAGGAGGAGATTGAGGAGGGGGTGGCAGTGGAGGCGATTATGGAGGCTCGGGTGGGAAACCGGGTGGTGGGTTAGGAAATATAGAGATGTAAGGAGTGGATGGTGGTGGTGGGGTTGGTGAAGGCTGGTAGGGAAACACATGTTCGTTGAAGCGAACATGTCGGGCAATATAAATCCGGTCATTAGACGGGTCAAAACAGCGATAGCCGTGGTGAACGGTGCTGTAACCAAGGAAAACGCAGGGAGTGGACCGGAATTCAATTTTGTGATGATTGTATGGACGAAGATAAGGGAAGCATTGACAACCAAAGACTCGTAAGAAAGAATAATCAGGTTTGCGTTTGAAGACTTGTTCAAAAGGAGATTTGTTTGAGGAGACACGAGAGGGAGACGATTGATGAGGTATACAGCTGTTTCAAAGGCAGGGACAAGAAGCGTTGAGGAAGACTGGATTGAGCCAGGAGAGTGAGACCAGTTTCTACAATATGACGATGGCGGCGTTCAACAATGCCATTTTGCTCACTGGTGTGAGGACAAGACCTTTTGTGGATGATGCCAAGGTTGCGACAAAGATTGGTGAGAGACCGAAATTCGCCCCCCCAGTCAGATTGAATACACTTTAATTTGGTGTTAAATTGGCGTTCAGTCATGTTAATAAATTGTGTGAACACATTATACACATCAGATTTTTGATTTAAAGAATAAATCCACATATAACGTGTGAAATGGTCAACACATAAAAGAAAATAACGATGACCATCAAGAGATGGCGCGGGAGAAGGGCCCCAAACATCACAGTAAACAAGATCTAAAATATTATTGCTACGAAAAGTGGAATCAGGTAAAGATGTCTTTGAAGATTTTCCCAATTGACAAGAAGAACATAAAGTATTTGATAATTTGTCCGAAACGGGTAAAGAAAAATAAGAAACAATTGAACGAAAAACTTGAGCATGAGGATGTCCTAAACGCTGATGCCAAATGTTCGAAGGACCTTTAACAGCAGTGAAGGCAACCTTCGGCAAAGACTTGAGTTGAGGAAGATGAATGGAGTACAAACCCTGTTCACTGGGGCCCGTAAGGAGGGTAGTGCGAGTAGACTCGTCCTTGACAACAAAATAAGAAGAGTGAAATTCAAAGAAAACATTGTTATSAAGGCAAAATTTTTGAACAGATAAAAGATTTTGTTTTAGTTGAGGAACATGAAGAATGTCGGTTAGGGTAAAGGTTTTGTTTGGTGAGTATATTTTGGATGAAYCAATGTGAAAAATGGGTACAGAATTACCGTTACCAACAAGTAAAGAATCGTTACCGTAGTAGGCCTCTGAGTTATCCATGCTAGATAGGTCTGGTGTGGCATGATGAGTTGCACCAGTATCTGGTTTCCAAGTAGGACCAGAAGATGAGCCAGCCTCTAAGTGTGATGTAAAATTGGCCTGTGGTGCAGGATGAGACTGGTTCGGTTGATTTGGGCACTGAGACGGTAGATGACCTATGCCACACCTGTTGTAATGGCCATAGACTGTGTTGTGGGTTGAAGCCCAAGAAAACTGTCGGGAGCCATTGATATCCCGAGGGCGATTATTGAAACCACTACGTGAGTTGCCACGAGAAGAACCACGAGATCCGCGACCACCTCGGTTATTGTTGAAAGACCGAGAACCATAATATGCTTGAGCCCGTGGGGTGGGAAAGGGGTTTAATTGATAACCAAGTTGAGAAGCCACAAGTTGAATGCTTTGGAGTTGTTGCTGAAGTTGATCGAGATTCGGTTGTTGAACCGAAGATGCAGCAGCCGTTAGTGGCTGGGATATTGGAGCAGTGTTGGCCAGGAAAGCTTGTGGAGTTAAGTTCTTTGTAAAAACATAGTCATGATCACACAAAAGACCATGCANATTGCCTTTAATGACATTGTATTCCTCTCGAAGCCCTGCGATAGTTAGCATTACTAGGTCTTTGTCCTTCATTGGTTCTCCAATATTTGCTAGAGCAGTGGCATATTCATGAACCCTGCTTACGTAATCAGACGGTTTTTCATCACCCTTCATGGTGATTCTAAGCAATTGAGTTTTGAGAGTAAATTCATGAGAGGCTGTAACAGGGGCATAAGCTCTTTCAAGAGATAACCATACCTCACGTGATGTTTTTCCCTGAATGTGTTGATAAGAATCTTCGGACACAGTAGAGATGATAAGCATCCGAATATGGGCATCGTTTGAGATCCACGGAATGTAGCTTGGATTGTCGGTGGTTGCTGATTCGTTGGTGACTTTCTGATCAGGACACGATACTGTTCCATCAACATAACCAAAGAGATTATGAGATGTGAGAAAGGCTTCAATCATAGAACGCCAATAGCCATAGTTGGTAGGTTTGAGAGAGGAGGAGAATTTGTAGGAATTGGGAATGGTTTTCTCCTGATGTGAAAAGGCGATTATAGCTGCCATGAATTCTGATGTTGATTTGTCTTTAACGTCGGCAGATTGTTGATGAATTGAAGAGCGCCGATTTTAGGGTTAGGGTTAAAGGGCCGGCAGAATTGAAGAGCAGGGCTTAATCGTCAGCGTCAAGGTCGAAAGCTGTAGACTGGCGATGGAAATCAGGGTTGAAGAGCGCCGGCCGGCAGAATTGAAGAGCGCCGGCAGATTGAAGGGCGCCGTTTTAGGGTTAGGGAAAAAGAATCGATTTTAGGGTTAGGGTTAGGATTAGGCTCTGATACCATATAAAACTTGATATCAATTGTATTGATTGGAAAATAATAATTATCAGATACACTTTAGAGATGTAGATTTATAGGTAAAACTAATTACACTTTGGACCCTAGACAATATTAATAATATAAACTAGAGTAGTTGACTTAGTCTAACATTGGGTTGTCTTATAATGGCTCAAAGAACGCTTATAGAATTGGAACTAATGGCTGCTAGCACCTTTGTTCATTGAATCTCTATAAGATAATAACAGATTTAGGAATTCTGATGTGTTTCTTATTCATTCTTGCTAAAGAAGCATACGATATAAATACACAAGGCAAAGGGAAAGGAAAGAAAACTATTCTATGAATCCCTGATTTTATGGGATTGCCTACAATCACTAATATTATGAGATTATGATCGGCTCCAATTACTCCTACATTAAATACATAATCATTTACATTTTTACATTTTCCGACACTCCCCCTCAAGCTGGTGAGTGGGAGTTTCCCATTCCTAGCTTGGATAAAATTCTCTCAAACATTGGTCTACTTAGTCCTTTAGTGAAAACGTCTGCTAGTTGTTCATGAGTACGCACGAATGGAGTACAAATTAAGCCACTGTCTAGCTTCTCCTTGACAAAATGTCTGTCATCTTCAACATGCTTTGTTCGATCATGTTGAACTGGATTGTGAGCTATGTTGATTGCTGACTTATTGTCACAATAGAGCTTCATTGGTCCCTCCCAATTGATCCTTAGATCTTTTAGGATGACTTTTAGCCACAATAGTTCGCATATACCATGTGCCATCGCCCCAAATTCGGCTTCAGCACTAGATCGTGCTACCATGCTTTGCTTCTTGCTTCTTGCGTCTCCATGTCACAAGATTTCCTCCGAGAAAAGTGCAATACCCTACTATCGATTATCTGTCCACTGATGACGTAACATAGCTTTGCGTTGCTGTATGCTTCAAGAGTTGCACGGTTATTTCTTTCAAACAAGATTCCCTTCCCCGATGCTCCTTTGAGATACTGTAAAATCCGGTGTGCGGCTCGTAAACGGGTTTCCTTTGGGTTATGCATGAACTGACTGACCATGCTTACAGCATAAGCTGTGTCAGGTCTGGTATGAGACAAATATATAAGTTTCCCCACAAGCCGTTGATACATTCCTTTATTCACAATTGCATCTTCTTCTACATTTCCCAGTCTATAGGAGTACTAGCAGGTTTGCATGCACCTTGACCTGTTTCCATGAGCAAATCTGTAACATACTTCTGTTGGGATATAAAAATTCCCTTTATTGAATGAGCAACTTCATACTTCAGTCTTCCTAATGTCTTGATCTCAAATTCTTTGGCTAGACATAGGCTCAGGGCTTGTTGCTCTTCTTTATCATCTCCTGTTACAATGATATCATCCACATAAACCAGTAGCACTATTATTTTTCTTGTTTTTAAGTGCTTGATGAATAGAGTGTTATCCCCTTGACTTTGTTTATATCCCAAAGTTAACATAGTCGTGGTAAATCTCCCAAATGATTCTCGAGGAGATTGTTTTAAGCCGTATATAACTTACACACCATATTGGGTTTTGTTCCTTTTCCATAACCAAGAACATCCATATAGATCTCCTCCTCAAGTTCTCCATGCAAGAACGTGTTTTTTTACATCAAATTGATGCAAACCCCAATAAAAGTTAGCAGCTAGGGATAGAATTACCCTAACTATATTCATTTTTGCAACAGGTGCGAATGTCTCAAAGTAATCCGCGTTATATTTCAAGTATAAACCCATTTGCATCCTACTGGCCTTTTTCCTTCCGGCAATTTAACCAACTCCCAAGTTTTATTCTTTTCAAGTGCTTCTATTTCCACATTCATGGCTTGCAAGGGTATAGAGTTAAGGTTGACAAGAAATGCTTTGTAGGTGGGAGAGAATTTCTGGAAAGAGGTGTAGCATGATAAGGGATACAATGGTCTTTTTGTGCATTCTCTTGTTCCCTTTCCAATAGCAATAGGCAGAGATTGGTCACTTGTTTGAGATTCAGTTACACTTTGCAAGGGTATAGAGTCAGAAATTGTTACCTCGTTTGAAGGACCAGTATCAGATTCTCGGACTTGCTGAGGTCCAAGAATGTTCTTCTTTTTTCTTGCGAATATCAGGTTCTTCCTAAACCGAGTGGATTCGGATTCTGGAATATGTTCACGATCTGGTGGAATTGTTTCAGTGTTATGAGTAACAGGAGTACTTGGGGAGTGTTCAAGATCAGGGATAATAGTGGAGTGAGATTGGGATGGAATAGGCTCACTAGCCGGTAAAACTATTTCGGGATAATGGATAACAGGAGTATTTGGGGAGTGCTCAAGGATAGAAGTGGAAGCTAATATAGATGAGTCAAGAAAAAGATCTTTAGGCTACCCTTATCTTCCTTCCGATCCTCCCCTGAAGATAAGGTTGGGTAAAGTAGGGATTGTTTTCGCTAAGGTTACATCCCTTGACACAAAAAACTTTCTAGATGGGGGGTGGTAACATTTGTACCGTTTCTAGGTTGAGGAATATCCCAAAAAAATACACTTTAGATCCCGAGGATCAAGTTTGTTTTTGTCTTGGCTATGGACGTGAACAAATGAAATACATCCAAAAATACGGGGTACAAGATTGTTGGAAGTGGACACATTCGGGTAAAAGGAAGAAACATCCATAGGACTTCTAAATCCTAGAACTCTAGTAGGGAGTCTATTTATAAGATAAGTTGCTGTAAGCACTGCTTCTCCCCAAAAATGTTTTGGAACGTTATTTTGAAATAATAATGCTCTGGTTTGATCTAATAAATGCCCATTTTTCCTCTCTGCCACTCCGTTTTGTTGAGGTGTTTTAACACATGAAGATTCTTGAATTATTCCCTCCTCTTGAAAATAGGAGGTGAGAATTTGATTGAAAAAGTCTCGAGCATTATCAGATCTTATTTTTTGAACTTTTACTCCAAATTGACTTTTTACCATCGAAATGAAATTAGGGAGAATAGTGCTAACATCGGACTTATGTTTTAATAAGAACACCCAAGTAACCTGTGTACAATCATCAATGAAGGTCACAAACCATCTTGCACCCCACACATTGGAAATATTAGATGGGCCCCAAATATCATTGTGAATAAGATAAAAAGGAGAGTTGCTTCTTTTATCACCGATAGGAAAAGGGATACGCTTGTGTTTAGCAAGTTCACATACCTCACAATGAAGGCTTTCAACATAAATTGTTTTATACAAATAAGGATAAATAACTTTAATAATCCTAAATGATGGATGACCTAAACGACAATGATGAAGTATGATTTTTTCTTTATTGGAAAGAACAGATTCTGATACGAGAGAGTGAGATAATCTGGTACTTTTTGGCATCTCAAGACAATATAGATCATCCTTCTCCTTAGCAAGTCCAATCGTCTTCCCCGAAACCTTTTCCTAAAGCAAACAATATTCGTCACAAAATACCATTTGACAAGGTATATCTCGTGCGAGTTTCTTTATGGAAATAAGATTAATGGACAATTTTGGGACGTGAAGAACATTTTTTTAAAAGAATAGATGAGTTGAGTTGGATATCTCCTATACCGGCTACGGTGGTTTGACTTCCATCAGCAGTGGCAATTTTCTTGTTACTTGGACAAGGTGAGTATGTAGAGAACTGTTTGGAAGAGTGGGTCATATGGTCAGTTGCTCCTGAATCAATGATCCAGGAGTATTTTAAGGTTGAACCTGAGACAAAATCCAAATGAAAAAGGATGCTCACCTGAATAGGTTAAAAAACAAGTACCTGGGAATGAGTATCCACCATTGAGATGGTTCTTTCCATTCAATTGGTATGATGCATGGATGTGTTGTAAATCTCCTGGTTGAGAAACATGGATTATGGTAGATTCTGATTTGGGTTCTGTCATTCTTTCGATGCTGGGTTAGGAATTGTTGGCAATGAAGGCCACAAAAAAGGAATCAAAGGAAGGAGACAATGAAGGCCTACAAAATTTTCAAAGATGGTTTATGAAAGCTAAAAAGGCTTCCCAATCTTCGATAGCTCAGATACCATAACAGATTTAGGAATTCTGTTGTGTTTCTTATTCATTCTTGACAGAGAAGCATACAATATAAATACACAAGACAAAGGGAAAGAAAAGGAAACTATTCTATGAATCCCTGATTTTATGGGATTGCCTACAATCACTAATATTATGGGATTATAATCAGCTCCCATTATTCCTACATTAAATACATAATCATTTACATTTTCCCATAGATAACGTAATGGATTTCTATTTAGCCAGACGCCTGTAATTAAGCAAAATAAACTTTAAACTCTTCAGTTGGCGACAATTATTTACTGCATTTAAAGATATTTGGGGCCAATATAAGTATTTTAAAAAAGTTGATGAAAAACTTATGACTCAATTTCATCACAATCTGCAACTCATGAAACTTGTATGGTGATCCTCAATTTAATCCATGATCGAGTAACATCTGAGAAAAGTTTTGAGTACCTGAACAAGGCATTTGGGATGCAAAGCAACTTTACTCTTTGAAGTTTCAAGTTTAAACCAGTCAACTGCCATAAGCTTCAGAAGGGGATCCCCTCCGGGTACCTGAAGTTATAAAAATCATAAGTGTAAAAAACAAAGTGACATATGGGCTAACATGAAAATGAAATCTTGTTAGCACAATAAAAATGCGAGCATCATAAAGATTTGTGACAAACATTACAACAACTGTGTCATGGAAGTGATTAGCTTAAAAGACATTGTGCAATTTTTTGCCTATTTGACAAACATTTTCTCATTGTGTTGACATCTTGGTCCAATGAACAGCAGGAAACAAATCATGCTAAATTGACTATGATTAAATGCCATAGAGGATCTGTGCCCAGTATTTCTCTTGGCAATCAAACCCAAGATGAACTGCATGTATGCTCTCACATTATTTTCTAACAAAAACACACCATGGAAATAAACCTAGTGCTCTATTTTATAATTTCATTACCTTCTTTTCATTGAAATCGGAAGAACCAAAGTTGTCAAATCACATAAGTTTTGTTTGTTACTACCCTACTACCATAAAAATTGGCATCTCCTGAAAAAGAAAACCCAACAACTCACCTTAGTACTATCTTTCAAGTATGTCTTTCCTCGAATTTTAAATCCATTACCACTTGGAGACGTCCAACAATTGGTATCAGCATCACCCTTCCCTTGGTGCATCGAACCAGAAAAATCGCTAGGAGCAAGAGTAACTGGATCTACAGTTGGATCTAACTCATTGTTTGCATCCATAGCTGATCAGACAAAAAGAAATCTACCCAATTAAGCAATTAAGCGAACTGTACTCGGTCAAAAACATAAAAGAGAATGCTAGAGGCTACCTTTCTTCGCCTTTAGAGCCAAGCGAGCAATAGCCCATGAAACATTCTTCAGCTTCACTCTCTGGCCCTAATGAAGTCAAAGTAGGATTTGCAATCCATATTCATTTCAATTTTGTATCAACCATACATCAGAACAAACATAAACTTCTATTATTTGGCATGTAAGTATGCACACTAAGCTGTGCTGGAGGAAATTCCGAAAGGATGACCAGACTCCTACATGAGAACATTATAGTAGTCGTTCATGGATCTAAGATTTATAGGAAAAAGATTTTTTGTTTGTCCCCTCTACATAGAGTACATTTTGCCCACCCAACCTGTTTTCAAGTTAAAATTTAAATGCTGTGACTGACTAACCCTTGTTGAGAAATGGCCACAACATTAAAACCTTAATTGAATTAACAAGTTTGGTAAAAAGGCCACAACATTCAAACTTTTTCCTAAAAACGGATTAAGGGGATAAAATATGATTATGAATTGGTGTACAGTGGCCATATGAATGAAGGTTGTGGTACAATGCCAAACAATATTACGGGTTATAAGAGGGACCAAACAAATATTTTTTCCAAAGTTCATATTGACAGGGGTAACCCTCTAGTTATAACGAAGGAAACAAGCATATTCAACCATGAAAAATTCAAAATTAATTGTCCATAACTTTTCAAAATTACAAATCCCAAAAAATTGTATTTGATCCTTCATAACCTCACAATATATTTTCATTGTCTTTCACAATTTTGAACAGTGCAAATCCCACAATGATCAATAATTCTGGAGCAAACCCTAAAATCTTTTCAACAACACAAACCAAATCCATGAAATAATCACCTAAGGTATTCAAAATTCAAAAGAAGACCTAGTAATAATAAATATCACAAACTTGAATAAAAGTAAAAGATTATTCTTTTTTAAGTATATAATATTTATATACGGCAAAACTCACACACAGACACACTCAAACCTTTGGTTAGGCTTGAACCCTTGACGCTGAGAAATAATTCTTATTTGTGATGGAGTAAGAAATTAGGTGATGAAAAATTAAAAGAATTCCTCTTACAGTTGATAAATAGACAAAAGCCCACCGTAAACCTACTGATGGGAAGAAGTATATTGATTAGAATCAAACTGTTACAGATATAATATGTGGTACCAGTTGCTAACCATCTGTCTTTGTATTGTCAAATTGCTAAAATAGAAGAAAGCAACGAACCTTGCTGTCAAGTTGAGCATTATCGTCATCTTCCTCTTCCTCATCATCTGAAGATGATGATGAATCAGCAGCAATTGCATCATAGAACTCCTCAGCAACTTCGGCATCCTCAAACTCACTAATGGATCCAGAAGCATCAGAGACTTTAGTATCCACAAGTGTGGTGGAAGATTCAAAAGTAAGTGCAGGGTTTGCCCCGATGTATGCCTTTAAACCTGAATCAGTAATGAAGAATAAAACATGACTTCCTTTGGTCTTTTAATTGTTTTGACACATTTAGATTCTATGTGAGGAGTCAAAATAAATTATCATCACTGGGAAAATAGAAAATATATTCTACTTGTCCTAAGACATCATAAATTTCAGCCGTTCAGAATGCACATGAATGGCTTATTGGTGGTAAGAATCATGAAATCGATAATCACTAACCTGACACTTGGTTCAACAAGGCATAAGGAATCGACTTTTCAAACTTTGAGCATTGATCACGTTTCCACTTAAACCATCCTCCCGAATTTATCTCTAACATATGTGTCACAAGACATCTATCACCATTTGTGCCAGCCGATGCTCTTAGATTTCTGATCTCCCAAGAAGAAGCTATCATTTAAAACAATTATAAGTTGTTAAAGAGTAACCCATCTCACAAAGAATACTGTTTACTAACTGGTGTAGCTCAACAAAATTAGAAAGAACACCCCCAATATTTAAGTAAATAAAGACACAATACATATTCAAGACCATGCTTGATACTATCAAGAAACCCTGAAATAGATTTTTGCAATTTCCAATATCATAATATTTGCTTAGGGCCAACATTTAACAGATCAAATCATGGATAATGGGTTGGTTCGTTAACATAACACATGTATTTCAGCGCATAAGAAAGCAGAAAGAACTCAGTTTCGGGAGAAACAGGAAAAAGAAGCTTCTTACGATTAATTTTTATTCGCCGATATCCTGATTTTGGAGGTCGCTTCTTATGTATCGCTGGAAATTGCAAAATTGCTGCATCACAGGTTTAAACTAGGTAAGTTTAGCTCATGAAATGACTTGCTTCTCCATTATACAACACAAGAATAAAAATGGATGCATGGTCTCGAAGTGTAGATTTTTGGTAGAAACAAGTCATACTCCCAATTGTACAACTAGAATGTGCAAGCTTGATAATACCTAAATTTCCATTCCCATATACTTGGGATAGAACTTGAGATTCCTAATATGTTTTTTAGTAAAAAATATTTATATACGGCAAATGAAACTCACATGCCCTCAACAATGGTGAGGTTTAAACCCTTGACCTCTAGGAAGGTTGGGTTACTGGATACTGCTAAGCCAATGGCCCTTTAGATGTCTCTTGCAAAATTGACCAGTTTTTTGCCCACCTCTGCACACAAGTTTAAGTGTGCAGGATCTCATAGCAGAAACAATAAATACTACACAAAATTGTGGAAGGCACCACCCAAGAAAGAGTGTAATGTTTTGGTAAAATAAAGAATGCTCAAGTTTTGGTCTAGGCACTCGAGCAATAAAGACGTGACCCTTTTGTATGTCATGCATAACCTCACAAAAACAACCCAACCCCTGCCAACATGGTATATAAGCTTTTCATACTTGCCACAGAAAGAAAAGAACCATAAGTAAATTCACTTACTGTATGCTCCATCTTGTCCACGAAACCATTGCCTAGAGAAAATGAAATCGCGCTTAGACTGCCACCTATAAGTATAGCACATCAGTTTTTGACTGATGGGAGATGACAAAAGAGATGAGTTAAAGGATAAAATATATAAATAATATAAACAATATAGAAGATGCAAGCAACAAAAACAGTAGAAGTGTCATCCATATTCTACAATTCAGTCCTTATAATCTCATGCAAAATTTATGTTTCCAATCAACACATATGATAAGAAATTTGGAAGCTCAAGTAGACAGTCATCAACTTAAAAATTGAAGGAAAATAAGTATGGCAACTGGGCTATGAAATAAACTCCATAGATGTTATTTAGTCTTGATCTAGACATAATGGTTGGGCCCTTCATCAGCATAATATATTATCAACTGAACTGGTGATTTTAGCAGATACATGAAATAAACAACTAATAGTGCTCAAGAACTTAAAACACTATTTTCTGTTTAAAACTAATCTGGTTGTTTACTGCATAACAAAGCAAGCTTGGATAAACAACTTCCATGCATTCAACGACAATGTAAGTTGGCTCTGTTTTAATGAGCAAAAATATCAATGCGATTTACTAAGGATAAAATTAGAATGCTCAGTTGGAGAGTAGCGCACCTAGTTAAGCATCTGGGATCATAAGAACCATAAACAACATCAGAATGTCCACTTAAACAATCTACAAGCTCTAAGTCACCAGTCAATGTATCCCACCTGTAAATTAAGATGTTAGCAAACAAAAAAGGAGTGCTATAACCATAAAATTCAGATAAATTGATCAGCATACTCATATCTCCTATGTCGATCAAGGTTCAGAACCACCTCAAAGACAGTATCTGGACTTGCATCAACAACACCGACGGCCTTGACGAGTACAGTTTTGCTGCGCTGTTAACGTTTTATAGAGAAGAGTCAATACATAATACTATTAGCTAATTTCAGTTTTGCAGCAGAAGTACATTTACTTAAACTAAAACGAAGAAGATTGATATATTTTTCTTTAATAGTTTACAAAGTTAATCCTTTACATTCAAGAATTACCATTGACTCCAAACTATAATCAGAGAACGAACCATACCACTCTCAAGGGCATGTACAAAGTGAAAAGAGACACTAAGAGAAGTCCAAAATGAAAAATAACATGATGTTCTCAGATCAGAGTTTTTATCACTTTTTCCTGGGCAAGAAAGCAACAGCTGCTAGATGCCAACTTACAGACCAATCACTGTGCCCTTTTGACAGCTTTGGAACCACTAATTGTATACTTATTAAGTTTCTTTGGCAACTCAAAGGTCAACGTTACATATTTTGGGCCATTCAACAATGTAAGGTGCTTAACACTGTACCCAATTCCAGGATTATTTTAGGATTAATAGACAGGGGTCTATTCAAGGCCAAGGTCCAACTACAAAGAGTCTTTCACTATGTGAACAGACCAACAACATGATTACGAGAAATGTATAAGGGCTTCTCATTGCCAATAATAAATTAAAAATATATATATAAACAAAATGCATGCATGCATGCATACATACATACCACATACACTCGTATATATTGTGTGTATATATGCATGTAATTAAGGTTAAATACATGTGCAATAAAAATATACAAGTACCTTATAGTCAGACACATCCTCAAAGATTCTGACACCTGAATCGAACATATGGTCAAACACAAAAACATCAGCATCCATATATTAATCTCCACATAAAAAGGTATAAGTATCGTAAACAGAACTCAAAAAATCCAATTTGATTCTATATCCTGAATCCGATAAATGAAACCAAGTAACATGAGACAAAATAGCATGAATTCAGGACACCAACTAATTTTTTCCATGTGATAAACTGATAAGTAAAATGTGTCTCGATAAATGATAGAGAACTTGTGATTAGCCATTATGAAGAATTAGCACCAAAAAAATCTACCAGAGATGACCTCATACTATTTGCTACAGAGGAGTACAAGGATACCTGAGATGACGCATCACCTTTTTAGATTCTTCAATTTGTAGATTGTGACTCATGAAGATAGCCTTACCACTGAAGGATAAGGTATCATTTGGCAACAGTTTCATTTTTAGTTTTTTCATTACATTTTGAAAAAGTGTAAACCAGATAGAATAAGATGTTTGGCAACCGTTTACATGTTCAGAAAACCAAATCAATTCAAATACATGCTGGTTGTATATCTTACACTTGTCTTTGATGTTTTTATTGCTTACAGATCTGGTTTACGAACATAAACAAGATCTGATTATATGATTAACAAATGAGGTTGAATTTCGAACCCAACAAAGCAAAACTGATACACACACGCACATATATGTGTGTGTGAGCATATAATAAGTTCCATCTTATTTTGTTGAAAACATATAGTATTACGAAATGCGTTTTCATTTAATTACCGATCACAAATCACAATACCTTCACGTTACAAAATAATGTAAATGCAAAACGGCAAACACAAGTTTGCCAAACAAGGCCTAAGCTGTTAAGTGATGATAAGCACAAAAAAACACAATGGTAAAGAGAAGATAGTACCATTGACTGTGCGGACACATCTCCACTCATGTGCTTCAATGGCATCTGCAGCATCTCCTTCCATGAAGTCACTAGACCTATGATGCCGGCCCAAGTTTGATGATCTTCGGACAAGTGTCTCTGGACCTACAGATAACAAAGTGATGAACAGTGGCAGACGGTTAGTCTACTTCATGTTCATGAGCATATCTGGTATCTGTTAACATTATATGCATCTACAAAGGCTATGAAGCATCAAAAACCATACACCACTACATCTATAAATAAACAGCAACATGTGTATGGGGACATATCATATTGCGTTTTCCCAATGTTAGACATATACTGAAAACAAAACAAAACAAAGTACACCACTCATGCAACAATGAGAAAGAGTAAAATTTTCAGGAAGTACCTAAACAATCGAAAACCAAACTCTCAAGCGACAAAACGGCAGCCACCAGTCAGTGCAAAGAATATGCTTAAGATTTAATTGTTTTGAAGATCATGCTTTAAGATTAAACTTTTTTAACCTGATGCTTTAAGATTACTTGATTACATTATACAAGTGGTTGGTAGTGATTTGCTTAATGTTAAACTTTTCTCATATTTAACATCTGGAACCATAGCTAAGTGATTCTTCATTAAAAAAAGTAAACTACTACAGCCTCAACTTGTGAAGTGAAGCTCAATCTCTATTTGGTAATTCATAGTTAAGATGTAGATAATCCCTAGAGCGAAATTAAAGACGATTGCATGAATGCGTCAATCAAGGACGTCTACAAGGTCATAGTGGATTGGTGGATGCATGCACACATTTTTTGTATTATGACACTATCATCTTCCAAGACTATCGGCTATGCCAATAACACCCGTTAGAAATCATTTAACAGAAAACTGAATCCTAGAAATATGGTTTTGTTCAAATAAACTTGTAAAAAAAATATCACAGCTCAAGAAACCTACAACAACAATCATGGATGTTGACGACTCTTAGTTATCGATCCAATAATGCTTCATACAACATACCTGAACAAGTGAAGAGTAAGCATGGATTTTTTATGAGGCAAAGCATGACAATATTTTATCTGAAAGCTGATCATGTAAGTATATAGAAATAGTATCCATACCACCTTACCATGTCCTATTCTTATCAGCTTCTTTAGATCATGTGCATATCGCCTTACTCTAGGGCGACGCCCTTCAAGATCAATCCTTCCAAAAAGAAATATGCAACATTGTTTCAATGCCAAGAATTTTCAAATATACTACAAAATTTCCTAGACAATGAGTTGTTCTTGATAAATAACTTAAGTGACTGATATTCAATGTTTTTAGAATAAAAACTATATGCCATTAGAAAACATAATATCTTTGCAATATTTAGATATAGAGGCACAAGAAATCTGTACAATATATTTCATGAGATTTTTTTCCCTGATCACTGATGAGTTGCACCCTACCTTACTAGAACAATATTATCAACATCTAAAATATGAATAGAGTGGCAACATACTCATTTTCCATGCTCAATCTGTGTCTGGTAGAACTTTGAGAAAGCTCAAACTCGGCCTGAAAATAATAGTTTAGGGAAAGATGCATGTAAGAACATGGAAAGAAAAACATGTGCACAACTACGTACACTTGTGAAAATAATCTCATTGAGTAATAAAGCTTGTCATTATTTCTACCTGTTGTTTTGCTTGATCAAATGCTTCCATCCATTTTCGGGTTTCTCCAGCTGAAGCACAAGCAATCTTGCAGCAACAAAATAATGAAAACAAGGACCCAGCACTCGTCAGCAAAGAGAACAAATTAAACATGATATTGGACATCAAACAATTGACAAAATCATAGGGTAACTAAACAGAATATTTGGGCACTTATGTTCATGTGTGAGATGATATAAATACAGTATGCGACCCAGTTTAACAGGAACAAAATACAGTATGTGACCGCAGTCCAAGGATAAGTAATTCCTACTATCGTGAATTTGGGTGTAGCGATCTCAAGAAGTCTCTAGGCTCCATGGTGGCACAATGGACTTGAGAAGTGATATAAGCTGGTCCATGCTCGATGTGAAAGTGGGATGAGCCCCATATTCAAACCTATAGAAGTTGAAAGAATTGTACCAACAAAGCTATTTGATAGGAATGAACCGTCCATTGGATTGTTTATTGAGTGATGACTAGGGACATTTGGATCACGTTTGGAAAATGTCAAACTAATAGATATGCATTATGATAGTCTCTATAATTAAACGAGGTAAAAATATGTTTCAGAATGTGTTATATCATGCAATGCTTGATAGATTCAGCAATGAAAAGAAGATTACAACCTTTTAAAACAACCATTCATGAACAGAATTGGCATGAACACATTTTACACATTCTGAAGATGAAGAAAAGGAAAACTTCAAAGGAATCATTGAGCTAAGAGTCGTAGAAGTGTATATAGTAAAGACCAATCAAACATCACTTACTTCTCCTTTCTTCTCCTCGTCCAATCGGTTGTAGAACCTTAAAACATAAAGATCCTAGAAAACATGATTCAAGCAGATGAAAGTCAAATTCCCTTTTTCCATGGAATTAAAAAATGAAGTAAATTTGATATTAGACCCAAGTGTGTGCTATGACATTTCGTACTAATGTCCAAATAATTACAATATTGCAGAAGATATAACAGGTTTTTTGAAAATAAAATACATAATATGAAAGTGATCTTTAGCCACACAAACAGAGATAAATAACACATGGAACTTGCTTTAAGGGTCTTACACCATCATTGAACTTTCGTCGTCCTAGCTCCTCCACCATAAGGGTGTTCCCAACGACACCCCTCCTTATTGGTTTCTGCATCAAGCATGCTAAGATAACTATAATCAAACTACAATAAATCATCACATTGAATTAATGAAAATAATAGCCTTGCTAGGTCTGTTATTTGAGCACAAGTTCAAATGGTTAAAGAAGTAATTAGTACCAAGAAGTTATAGTGTACTACTAAGTAGTCACCCGAAAAAACATACAGTCGCAACGTAAATCTAAGTCATTTTTGCACAAGATTGTCATACTAATAGCAATGAGAATGTTGCATAGGTAATAAGATTAAACCCTAGTGATCTAATACCATCACCATACACCTCATCACTGAAAAGTCTGATGCTTCTTCAGCCTGAATCAAAAAACATCGACATCCGGTACAGAATGAGTTGCCAAAGAAAGAGAATACACCCTGCAGTTATCCTTGAAAGCACAACTCATGCATAAGCTCAACATATTGCCTACTATAGGAACTTTGGCCATCAAATAAAGAATAAATTGAACAAACTCATAGGGATCCTACCCATCTTAATGCATTAAATATAATTGGCTAGTAAAAATTCACCCACGGAAGTGCTAAGTTCTCACTTGTCAAACCCAAACCAGACTTTTCCACAGTCAAATGCTTCTCTAAGAAGAAGCACAACCGCGACTGCTGATGAATACACTGAGGGTAAACTGGCCCTGAAGAAATAGTTTATAGCCTCAAAGGATAAAACCATCAGAAAGCCATAAAGATAACAGCTTTATGAACCACCATCATGTTTCGGCTAGATTGTACTCCAGCCTACAAGCACTTATATACAAATCATTCTCCAAGCACAAAGAGAAGAACTTCATTGAGAATTTGAGATGCTATGGCTCCACTTTACTGCACAAACGTCTCAATATTTCAATTGTACCACTTTCTTCTCTTATCAACCTATAGCTAAATAAACCTGGCATGTGGATGAAAACATCAATAAGATAGATGACAGCCATCACAAGTTTATTATGGAAAAGGCAGCAAGATAACATATGTTTTTTAAATGCTGCCAAACCTTATCAAATCCTCAAAGGCTCAAACGCACTTAAAAGAAACTATCATTAATGGTACTATAAGAACCGAACTTATAAGTACGAAATTGCTACACTAACTTCTCTTAACCGAATCCTACCCTTTCGGTCTCCCACTGTAATTGCAAAATAAAACCGCTATGATGGTATCTAACAGGGGAACCACCCATTCTGTGGTCTTTGCAACTCCTCACACTACTAACTCTTCATGATAATATTCAAATGTACCCCAAACAAAATAGAACACGGATAACATTGTGTACTTTAAGAGAAAGTATACATAGCAAGCACATGAATGAATCACAATAGTATAAGCCTGTGGCATCTTGTAGATTCTTCTATTTTATTGGATTACTGTAGCAACTCTTGGATTCTTTAACAACATAAACCTATGACCTTAGCTTGTAATGGGATCTTGTTTCAGAAACAAGTAAAAAAAACATCATCAAGAAGATACAAAAGAGTCCATAATGAATTTATGCATCAAGATCACAATAAAACGCCAACTATAGTGCTTTACTATACCATCTTCTCCATCCTCTACTCTTAACAAGGAGAAAATTCTGGCCATGGTTGCTACTACAAAAAAGCAGCAAGACGATGTGGTTTCACTAAGTGGGACTTGAAAATTTTAATTGGATGTGGGCATTTACATGGAAACTGCATAAACTTAGATTTATGCCCTTGTAATGATTCCTGAACAGAAGTTATATAAGAGCAGTAGATTTACCTTATTAACTCCGTTGATCATGCAATTGCACAATTATATAATTATAACATGAAAAATCAAAATGGGGGTGAATCTGAGATTGAAACATACAATGCCGGGGTTTTCATGAGGATCGCGCTTATACATCATCACGTATTTCCCTCGGATATACAGAAATCGAAGATGACAAAACTCGCGGCCAATTGAATTGGTGCCCAAATGATAAACCCATCCGAAATATTCCAACCTCGTCCGACTAGACACCTTCTCCTCCGCCCCACTCTCCGATCCTCCACTTTCCGAAGACCCACCTCCTTGACCAACCTTCTTCATCACCGGCGGCGATTCCATCCCCTTCTCTCCGGCCAAAAATTATGTGGGTTTTTTGCAGATCCTAAAATTCAACGACAAGAGCGAGAGACTGTGACCCTTTTGTTGCTTATGCATCCAAGAAAACGGAGTAGAACGTTAATGGTGGTGGTGGTGGTGGTTGTTGATGTTGATTCTCTTGGGATTCTGGGTAGATGAAAGATGAAGAAATAAAGAAATGCCAGGTGGAAGATAATGTTACATTCAAATTTAATACGGTCATTTTTGACAGATTGGGGATTTCACGAGGGTTTGTTTCGGATATCTTGTTTCAAGAATCCGTTGGCGTCTAGGGTAAAGTTTGATTACAGAATCAATAAATGTATCATTGACAATAATATCGTCATAAAAAAAAATGTTTATATTTCGAAATTACCAACGGTAACCTTTATATATAAATTTCAAATCTTGTATCCTAATAAGATCAAATAATTGACAACGAATAATCATATAACTGTTTTAATCTGGTTATGTTTAATTATATGAATTTTTCTTTTATTTTTTAATTAATAACTTTTGTGTTTTCACTTTTAAACTAAATTATCTATATTATATTTTAAAACATTTGATAAAAACTTTTAAAAACTATTTCTTATGTATAAAATATTGTTTCTTAACGCATATTACTTAAAATTTAAGATTACAAGTAAATTGTGCGTAATAACAACTTATTAAAGCTCTATTTAAATTTGTATAACTAACTGCATATAAACATAATCAAATACAAGATAAATATCTTATTTTAAATATAAAAAAGTTTAAAATATAATTAGGATAACCATTGAGTTCTAACAGAATCGTTATCTTTATAAAAAATTATATTGTTAAACCCAAAAAATAAATTACTTCACTATTAGACATAAATTAAATTATAATAAAAAATTGAATTAAAGAAATTATACAAAAAATGAGAATTTTTAAATAATTAATTTGATATTAATATCGATATATTTTTTCAAATTTTTATATCTTCAAATATATTTTTATTCAAAAGTAAAAACATTATCTTTGCGTGAATACCGTTCTAGTATTAAAAATTACTAATGTTTTAATCAAACAAATAACATCAAAAAACGAGAATTTCATTCTCTTCGTTGTGACATCTATCTCGATATAGTTTTTTTTTTCTCGTTTTAATCGTTATTTACGTGAAATCTTATATATGTGTAATATTCATTATGAATATTCATGTATGTTTAGGCTTGTACAATAACTCAACATTGTAAATTAGTAACTCAACATCACCTTTTTCAACACTTTTTTCAACGTCGTAAATACGTAACCTGACACCGTATTTTTCTTCACTGTAACCCAACACCCATAGAGAGCGATCGAGAACCCGGCGAGACCGAACAAGAACCTATCAAGACCAATCAGAACCCATCGAGACCGGTCGATAATCCATTAATTGACTTGGTGTATGTTTATGTGTGTAAAACCATAACCTAACATCTTCATTTTCCATCAAGAACCTATCGATTGATTTATTATGTGTTTGTGTGTGGAAAATCATAACTTTCAGCTTTTATAGAGACGGATTGGGACCATCGAGACTAATAAAGACCAATCGAGACTAATCAAGAACCATCCATTGACTTTGTGAGTGGTTCTGTGTGTAAAATCATGACTACCACCTTCATTTTCTATCGAGAGCGATTGAAAGCCTATCGATTGATTTATTGTTTGTTTGTGTAAAGCCATAACCTACCACTTTCAGCTTTTATCGAGAAGAATCGGGAACTTATCGAGATCAATCGATAACCCAATAAAGAAAAAATAAAATAAAAACTAGAGTATGTAGAGTTGGAATTATAATATATTTATGATTAATAGTATGTATATGCATGATGAATATCATGGTGAAAAATAATATTTATGATAAATATCATACTAATATAAATAATAGAGAGTTGTTGTATACACTTGATCATATATAGATATTCATGATGAATAGTATGTATATTCATGATGAAAGTTATCGTAAAAATGTATATTCATGATGAATGTTATAGTAAAAATGTATATTCATGATGAATATCATACTGTTGTATGGATATTGAAAAGTGGTTATACATGTGAATATATATATAAATATTCATGATGAATGTATATATATATATATATATTCATGACGAATGTATGTACATTTATGATGAACGTTATAGTGAAATTGTATATTAATGATGAACATCATATATATTGATGTATGAGTACAAAAGAGTTTTTGTACACACACACACACATATATATATATATATATATATTCGTTATGAAGGTTATAGTGAAAACGTATATTTATGATGAATATCATACTTGTTTATAAATATTTAAAGAGTTGTTGCATATACGTGAACTTACATGGATATTCATGAGATCGGATCTCACGGTAATCACAAATTACTGAGTTTTCCCTTGAATTGCCCCCCTATATATGTGACGTTATTCTTAAGGCACTAAGGACATGTTTGTTAGTAGCTTAATGAGCTTAACAAAACTCAAAACTTATGTAACACCTGGAGTTTCAATGCATACTCTATCGTTCCCCTTTATAATATTTATATCGTAGCTTGTAAGTTGGTTTACTTTGGGTATATTAGGCAAAGAGAGGCTCAAATTGGTGAAAATTAGAGAAAACTATCGATACAGTGGGGCAATAATGCCCAACGATATTGACAAAGGGCAAAATAGCCGGTCACGGTCAGGGGATGGTCTCGGTACACTTAGGGCTATAGTGTTTGTCGATAGTGACATGTCAAGATCACCGGGAAGGGGTCCTACACATTAAAATCCGATATTTTTCTACCTTTTTAGCCATTATTCCCTTTTTTTCTCTCTCTTCATTGAAGACTCCTTAGAGCAATCCCTAGGACGATTTTGAAGGTCATTTTAGGAGCATTTGAGAGCTCTAACTCAAGGATTTGTTTATCTAAGTTGGAGATTCAAAATCTAGACCTCTTCTTCATCAATATACTTGGTTTCTAGGTTTTTTCATAACCTAGTATTATGAGTTCATCCTAACTTTTCTCAAACTTTATACATGTCAAAATGCTTTATTTTAGTCTCCTAAAACATTCCTCCTGATGTATTTTACATATTAATAAATGGTGGATCTTCAAAGTATGTGACATAACTTAGTCTTCTAAGGAAATATATGTTGTTTGGGACTTGAAACTCCATGATTTATGATTTTACTTGATTTCTACATATATATTTGGAGGCATTTCATGAAGATTGGTTTAACTTGGATTCATGAACTCTTGAGTAAAATGATAAATATGATATTTGGTAGGGAAGAGAAATGGTTTTATCGGGGGTTCAACATTAACCTATGTGGTAAATATTTGTGTCAAAATGACTATAAGAGGACACTCGATTGATGAAAACTAACTGCGCATGCAACCATTTTTGTGGTAAGAGACTATGACCCAACTACTCGATACAACGATCTATTAGATCGTGTTCTTAGGGATCGTGATGCAATCATATCACATCTCAACTGGGCCTGTATATTTCTAGGCTTTCATAGTAACTATATGCGTAATTATAATTGATCACTTTTGAGTTGTGACAAGTTTTAGACTAAATACAAATGGAATCCATAGGCATAGGAGTCGAGTTGATTTAACGGCGGATAATCTCCCCCTATGTAACTAGAATTAGACATTAGGTTATCGAAGGCTTTGAACTATAAATCACAGGTTGGTTGAACTCTAGCCATTGTTAGCTTGACGTAACTTCTAGTGAAGGAGTGCAACTAGGATCACGAGAGGCTTTGAACTATGAATCACAAGTTGGTTGAACTCAATGGTCGTTGATCTTTAATATGAGCTCTATGACATGGGATTGTAGTCTACTTTTGTGTTCCGCACTAACCATGAGAAAACTGGGTCTCCCCTCTCGTCATAAGATGTATTTTGGACCTCATGGTCTCTTGGTTGAAACGTATAAACTTGAGTATGTTTACTTTATTCATAAATGTTTGTTCTCACTAGCAATTAGTCTAACACTTTTCTTAAAATGACATGTATATCCGAAGTCTTGAGCGACGAGATGGGATGCCGATAGAGGCACTTTTATGGATGCTAGCTTTTGGTCAAATAGCGTCGTATATACATTGACATGATTCTTTTAGGAGAAATAAAGACACCCGTCTATAATCTAGACTTGCAATAGTTTAGATTAGTAGGTTATTATTTATCATCTTTATATTTGTGTTGTAAACTCTATACTAATTCCCCATTTTGGGTGATTTTATATTTGATAGGTTCTATTTTCATTTAGAAATTTAGTTTAAATTCGCTCATATTTTAGGGGTGTTACAGCTTATTCGGTCAAAACTTAATGATATAGAAAATGGCTAATTCAATAAGCTTCGTGGGGATCTTTATGCAGAAAGTCAAGTTTTTTTCCAAATTTATTCCTCCCAATTAAGACCACGCTCCTTCATCTATAATAAATCCTTCCCAAAAAAAATCTTAGTCTATACATACAAATTAATCCACACAGACAACTTTATTTATACATGACTTGATGGAAAACCAACCAAACAGTTGCTAAGAGCATCTCCAATAGATTTTAATAAAATAGAAAAAATGTTTTGTTCTCTATTTTGCTCCAACGGATTTTTTATATTGTCCTCTAAAATAGAGAAAACCAGAGAAAGATCCAATTTAAGAGAATTCTCTAAAACTTGATGTGTGTAAAGATAAATTAATTTTTTATTCATACCCACAAAAGAGATTGAATTATTATTTCATATAATTTCTTAAAAAGTATATTGGAATGATAAATTTTAGAATATTTTAATAATATAATGGATATTGAAATATCTAAAGTACAAAATATGTTATAGTCAAATGTAATTTTTATAAAAAAATTGATTTTTGGTTCTCTAATTTAGAGAAATGATAACAAATTTAATGGAGATACTCTAATAGATTAAAACAAACCAAGAAACAACTAAGTCATGGTTCAACAAAACCACCGGGAAAACTTAACCCACCATTTATAAGGCATAGAAAAGAAGGAGACCACAAAAAGCAACAACGAACCCCCTATGAAACACCCCAGATGACTAGAAAACTAATGAAAAAGCCAACTAAACGACCAAAACCAACTACCAAGAAGAAGA